TGATACCGTCTGTATCATTGGGGTAGCGTTGCTAAACAAAGCGGTTTCAATAATAAACATGCATGATTTTGTAAAAGTATGACATAAATTAAAAATAGCTTTTAGATGAACCGACGACTGTGACGTAGTTTAGGACATTGCAACCTCTCCTGCTATGGAATTTTGAGGGCCCTTCTCAAAATTCTGCCCCAGTTTGATGGGTTGACGTTTCTGGCTGTTGCTCGTGCGGCGATCGGCTGAAATTACTTCGGAATTTTGAGGCTCCTCCTCAAAATTCTGCCCCAGTTTCCGATTGCGGGGGGAAATGAATTTTTTATTGAATTGTGACCGAACCCATAGGGCTGCCTACATATCCCCTGTTAAACGGGAATCAGGTCAGGCATAGTTCAATTTACATCATATAAGCAAAGCATAAAGATTACACATAGTAACGCTTGACTGCATCTAAATTGATCGGCTTCGGCCAGACTTCCCCGTCCATTTCTGCAAGTATGAGGGCTACTCCTGTCAAAACCCGGTGAACCATGTATGGACCCTGCTAGTTGGGAGAGAACTTCTCTTTGACTTCATCTTGATGCGGAAAAATTTTCTTTTACACCAGCTGCCCCGGTGTGAACGGTCTTGGCTTGACTCTTTTTTTGAAGGCTCTGGACATTCTGTTCTGGTAGAGTTGACCATGGCAGACTGCATTCATTCTCTTTCCGTCTATAAGGGCTAGTTGCTCATAACGACTTTTTACCCACTCTGCGTCGTCGAGCTCAGCTTCTTGCATGATCCTTAGGGAAGGAATTTCTACCTCAGCGGGAATGATAGCCTCTGTACCGTAAACCAGCATATAGGGGGTTGCCCCGGTTGATGTGCGAACTATGGTGCGATATCCCAGTAGAGAAAATGATAACTTCTCGTGCCACTGTCTTTGCTTCTCTATCATTTTCCTCAATATCTTCTTGATATGTGGACCGCAGGTCCCAGCATGAATTTCCTCTAGTAGCTTGGATGCTTCTTTTGCGTCGTCACATCTTAGTAATCCTAAATCGGGAGTCCTCCTATACAGGATTCCTCCGCTGTGAAAGAAGTTGTTGGACAATCTCCGAAGTATGCATTTCTGATTAGGATTCGCAAGCTCCGGGTACTCTCCTTTTGCCAAAAATTCCTTGATATCATAAAACCAAGGCTTTCCGTCTGCTTCCTCTTCAACATGGGCACAGTAAGCTGGATGATTATGGATTTTCACCGGAATGGGATCAATGAAATTCTTGTCGGGATGCTGTATCCTAGATGATAGGGTAGCCAATGCATCGACAAACTCATTTTGGATTCTGGGAACATGCTGGAATTCCATCTTCGTGAACCTCTTTCTCAATTCCTGTACGTAATGCAAATACGGGAGTATCTTGGAGTTCTTGGTTGCCCATTCTCCTCGTACTTGATGTATAAGTAAGTCTGAATCTCCAATCACTAGCAGCTCTTGAACGTTCATGTCAATGGCCATTTTAAGTCCTAAGATGCAGGCTTCCTATTCGGCCATATTGTTGGTGGAGGGGAACCTGAGTTTGGCAGACACCGGATAATGCTGACCGGTTTCTGATATTAGGACTGCTCCTATGCCAATTCCTTTGAAGTTTGCTGCTCCATCGAAGAACATTCTCCAACCGCGTAGGATTCCGCAATGTCTTCTCCTATGAATGATACCTCTTCATCAGGAAAATATGTTTTCAGGGGTTTGTATCCTCCATCCATGGGGTTTTCGACAAGGTGGTCTGCCAGTGCCTGTCCCTTGACCACTTTCTGAGTTACGTAAACAATGTCGAACTCACTCAACAGGATTTGCCACTTGGATAGCTTGCCAGTGGGCATGGGCTTCTGAAAGATGTACTTCAAGGGATCCATTCTCGATATGAGATATGTAGTATAGGCACAGAAGTAATGTCTCAGCTTCTAAGCTACCTAAGTTAAAGCACAACAGGTGCGTTCCAATAGAGAATACTGGGTCTCGTACGGGGTGAACTTCTTACTGAGATAATAAATGGCTTGCTCCTTCCTCCCTGTTTCATCGTGCTGCCCCAGGACGCAGCCGAAAGCTTCATCTAACAATGCAAGGTAGAGTAATAAGGGTCTACCTGGCTCGGGCGGGACTAAGACTGGTGGTGTTGACAGGTACTCCTTGATTTTGTCGAAGGCCTTTTGGAAATCATCGGTCCATTTGGTACGGCGTCCTTCTTTAACATCTTAAAGATTGGCTCACAGATAACTGTAGACTGTGCTATGAATCAGCTGATGTAGTTAAGCCTTCCCAAGAAACTCATCACATCCTTCTTGTTCCTTGGCGGTGATAATTCTTGAATGGCTTTGACCTTCGATGGATCTAGTTCTATTCCTCGGCGACTCACAATAAACTCAAGCAATTTCCCAGCAGGAACCCCAAATGCGCATTTTGCGGGGTTTAGTTTCAGGTTGTACCTCCGCAGTCTATTGAAGAACTTCCTCAGATCTTCTATGTGGTCAGTGGCCTTCTTGGAATTGATAATAACATCATCCACATATATCTCTATCTCCTTGTGTATCATATCATGGAAGATGGTAGTCATGGACCTCATGTAGGTGGTCCTTGCATTCTTCAGGTAGAATGGCATCATCTTGTAACAGTAAACTCCCCACGGCGTAATGAAAGCCATTTTCCAGCATCTTCCTCATCCATCCAGCTCTGATGATAACCAGCGAAGCAATCTACGAATGACTGTAGCTCATGCTTGGCGTAATTGTCAATCAGGATGTGTATATTTGGCAAAGGGAAGTCGTCATTCGGACTGGCCCGGTTGAGATCCCGATAGTCGACACAGACTCTGACCTTCCCATCCTTCTTCGGCACTGGCACAATGTTGGCTAACCATGTCGGGTATTCTACTACCCTGAGAACCTTAGCGTTGATCTGCTTGGTGACATCTTCCTTGATTTTCAAACTCATATCAGGCTTGAACTTTTTGAGTTTTTGCTTTATCGGTGGACACATTAGATTGGTTGGCAGTTTGTGAGCCACAATAGATATACTCAGACCAGTCATGTCATCATACGACCAGGCAAATATGTCCTCATACTCCTTTAGAAATTCTGTGTATTCTTTCTTCTCCGATGGCGATAGGTGAATGTCGATTCGTGTTTCCTTGACATTTTTTGCATCTCCTAGGTTGACAATTTCGGTCTCGTCCAGGTTGGACTTAGGTCTGTTCTCAAAATTCTCAACTTCTTTGACAATCTCGTCAGGTATGTCATCTTCCTCTGAATCAATGTCCATTTGTTGCGTTGTCTCATTGCATGTCACATCATTGGTTCATCAAGACAAGTAATAGTAATGTTGTATTGGTAAAGCAAGGAGAGAAAACGATAGCAATAAATATTAATTCATAAGAAAAATCAAAAATGCTTTTGATAAATTGAATAATTCTTTTGAACATCGAAGATCTTATTGCGGGAATTGAAAAATGTGAAAAGAAAATCGTTTAGTAAATAAAATAGTGAATAATGCTTGTTTTAGCCTTGCTACCCCGAGGCTCGTCGGGCATTAGTTATCCTGATGGTCCAATTCTTGAGATGTGCCCTTCTACTCACAGCCTGTATGGAAGGTCCTTCCTCCCCCTCCTCCTCGAGAATAACGCAATAGTCCACATCACTGTCCTCTAGAAACAAGTTCTTCAATGCTGCAAGTGCTTCTTCTTCATCTAACCCATAAATAATGTCGGCCTATTGGAAGGTCTACTCCAGATGCGGTATTGGCTGCTCTAGTGGGTAGTAAGGACCGCGCCATGGTGGCGACCAGCTATTGAATTCTTCCCAGGTGTATTCATATCCCAAATCGAAGGTAGTTCCATGTTTCTTGAGTTTTATGGTTTTAGAGATTCCTTGGAGGTTCTTGCCGAGCCCTTTGCCAGGTTCGTACCCACTCCAACTCAGTATACTCTCGATTTTGCTATCCCACCATTTGTCTTTGTCGATAGCATTAACCCGCTCAATATGGTGGTAAGTTTCTCCACCTAGCTTCCTTCTTCCCTCGATTGCCGAAATGGTCTGGCGACTGTATATAGGGTTGCTATCGTCGCTGTGAATGATCACTTCCTGGTGATTCCATTCGAACTTTACTGCCTGATGCAGCGTTGATGCTACGGCCCCAGCAGCATGAATCCATGGCCGTCCCAGCAGCAAGTTGTAAGACGCTGGTACATCTATTACCTGGAAATCGACCTCGAACCAGGTTGGTCCCATCTGCAGGCATAGACTAATCTCACCAATGGTGGACCTCTGAGAACCATCGAAGGCTTTCACATTGATTTCTCCATCCTTTATCTCATGCAACCCTTTGCCCAACTTCTTGAGTGTTACCAGCGAATAAATGTTAAGACTGGAACCTCCATCGATCAGGATCCTGGTGATGAAATAATCTTCACATTGCACGGTGATGTGTAGTGCTTTGTTGTGCCCCAGCCCTTCAGGTGGCAGCTCGTCCTCATGAAAGGTAATCTTATGGCTTTCCAGAACTTGTCCTACCATATTAGCCACTTCCCCGCTAGTGATGTTACTTGGTACGTACGCTTCATTTAGCACCTTTAACAAAGCATTCTTGTGCGTCTCAGAATTTTGCAGCAAAGAGAGAATGGATATTTGTGTTGGCGTCTTGTTTAACTGGTCGATGACCGAATATTCCTTGGCCTGTATTTTCCTCCAAAGGTCGTCCGGACCTGTCTCAATGAGGAGCGGCCGGTTGAAGGCCTGCTTGCTTGATTCAGCCAGATGTTTAGGGGTATAAACTCTACCAGTTCTTGTCATACCCTGTGCTGCGACAGTTTCTTCAATCTTGACCTTGCCCTTCCTTCTCGCCTCGGCTGTATAGTCCCAGGGTACAGCATTTGTATAGAACGATGGCATGGTTGACATCGCCACTGGGATCGGCGCGTCTATCCTCACTTCGAATGGAACATGTGCCTTGGGTGGCAAGACTGCAACCTCAAATGGTGTGGGTGCATTTGCCGAAGACAAGAATTCAACCTCAATTGGTGCCGATGTCTTTGCAGATGGCGTTGCTTCAAACTGAAAAGGTACAGACATATTCACCTCAGCGTCCTCGGACGGTTGGATCTGGACTATGATTGGATTGAGATTAATTGTCAGTTTCTTTGGGTCATCACCTTCTGCGATCAACCTGATTGATCCCTCGGGATCCCAGTCATCTTCTACTTCGATCATGTGAATACCTCCACCCTTATGGTCTGGCAGAGGGTTGTCGCGGACGTTTGGAGTGAGTTCCTTTGCCACGATGATCTTGTTATCAATCAAAGACTGTATCTTGTCCTTCAAGGAGCGGCATTCATCGATGGTGTGCCCTTTCATGCCGGAGTGGTATGCACAGGACTTGTTTGGGTTAACCCACTGAGAAGGATTCTCAGGGGTTGCAGCAGGGATGAGGGTGACATAACCAACAGCTTTGAGCCTCTCATACAGCTGGTCGATGGGTTCGGCGCTAGCTGTATACTGTTTTGGAGGTCTGCGATCGAAATTAGGTCGGGGTCTAGGGAAATTTTGGCGTGCAGAGGGTGACTGATAATGGGATGGTTGAGCAGTATAGGTTTGGTAGACATGAGCGGGTTGGGAGTATCTGGGTGAAGTAGGTTGGTATGTAGGAGGTGGAGATGATTGATAAGTTGGTGGCGAAGCTTGGTATGAGGGTGCTTGGTAATTTGGGGTTGGCTGGTATGTGAGTGGAGGTGTTGGGTAAGCTTGGTATTTAAGGGGAGACTTGGCCCTTTGTGCAACCATCACAGCCCCTACGTCCCTTTTCTTGGACACACTGCCGGACTGTAAAGCCTTATTCGTGGCTTGCAAGGCTTCGAAATCTGTAACCATACCACTTTTAATACCTTCTTCAATTTTTTCACCTAATTTGATAATGTCGGAGAACTTGTGGTTCTCAATCATCATCAGTCGTTTATAGTACTACGGGTTTATCAAAGATATTACTGGAAAAATCCCAAATGAGTTAAGTGAATGTGGGAATTTGACAGTTTTAGGCTTAGCAGATACAAGAATATCTGGTTCTTTGCCTGTTTCATTAGCTAAGCTCAAGAAACTTGAGACTTTGTCTATTTACACTACTATGTTGTCTGGTGAAATACCTCCTGATTTAGGTAACTGTTCTGAGCTTGTTAACTTGTATTTGTATGAAAATAGTCATTCTGGTTCAATACCATATGAGATAGGGAAACTTAGAAACTTAGAAAAATTATTCCTTTGGCAGAATAATCTTGTTGGTGTTATTCCACAAGAGATTGGGAATTGTACTAAATTGAGTATGATTGATTTGTCTTTCAAGATGTAGCTCAAGAATTTCAAGAACCGCCAGAAGATCACATTTTCCTACTACAAGAACACAAAATTTACAATTTCAAATCTAAGCAGCGACAAAAATACACTAGGTGATTTGTTCCCGTCTATCTAAGCTTTAGTGGTTCGTACTCTACTGTTATTAAAAAAGGAAAAACAAGTACAAACATTAAAAAATTGAAACATGCGACTACTTTAGCATCGGTCACAACCTTAGTCTTCCTAATTGCTGGAGGATATTACATTCAGCAAATTCTCCCTTTCATAGTTTGGTTACCCTTTCATAGTTTAGTTAAAATATCGGAGCTACAGCTACTATTGCTACAAGTTGCTACTAGGAGTGCAATACAACGACAACGACTACTACGAGTGTTCAAAAGGAGTCTATTGCCAAGTTGCAGATTTCCCAGTAATAAAATCAGTAGGCCAATCAGAGTACAAATTACCACTATTGCCCAGAGTTATCAGGCCACTTGAAAGAAGTAATGAAATCCAAATCAACAATGAAAATAGGGAATGCCAGTACTCTTTCGAACTCTTGCGCACTGATAAAGAGAGAGAGCGAGAGAGCGCACAATGAGAGGCAACATAAAAAAAGAGGAGAAGAAGAGGAAAGAGAAGACGTGTAACATTTGCTACGGACTAACCTTGGTTGTTACTGCCAGCGGATGGACGATTGATTGGTTGAATAGCACCTTGTTGTGCAGAAGCAGCTTCGCCAGGTGCACGAGCATGAATATTAGCATGTCAGGATCATGTCTTAAATCGGGATTGAGACGTTGAAGTCGTGTAACGATGTTCATCGTAATATCTTGTTCCATAGCATCCTATTGTGCATTAAGCTCTTCCAGCAATTTTCCTTTTTGTGCATTGAGCTTTTCCAACAATTTTTGTTGCATCCTCTCTTCCATTTCCTCCATTTTTTGTTCCATTATCTCATCAGTAGCATTTACATAGGATCCAAAATCTCCTTTTTTCTTTTTTAAGATAGTTTTGTTAACTCCTCGGCCATACAATCTTGCCGACCTAGGTGCTCAGGTCCCATGACTGATGCAAACGCGTCAACTGAATCACTACCATCTCCACTTTCTTGAGTTGATTGTATTCTCTCCATTTCAGCCTACAAACCAAACGCAAGAGAATAGAGTATAAGTAAATAAAACTAAGTCGATAATTAAGAACAAATAAATAATCACGATAATCTTTAAACTAGAAATTTCTTACAATTTTACTAATTGTATTATCATAAGAGATTTTGTATACTCGACCAAGTTTTCTTTTTCTTGTAGCCACAAAGTTGTCTTTACTTGATAGAGTATCCGAAGTATCAGCCATTTCCTTCTTTTTTTTCCTAGTAACATGAAAACTGGTATAATACTCGTGCTGATATGAAGAAGGCTAACCTCGTCACACACTTGATAAAATACATTGCTGATTTCTCACATCCACATACTTAAGCTTTATATGAATGATTTCAAACTAATAATGGTCGAACGAAATATGCTGCTCACATTTTCATAGTTAAGAAGTGTTAAAAGTTGTATTATGTATTAAATTTATGCACCTGTGCAAATTTTAAGTTTTTATCAACTTAAGATCAATATTCAAAGATTCCAATTCTGAAGCCATGCATCTCAGATCCAATATAGGTGTGAAAGACTTCAGCATGGAGGTGATTATGTCAGTCCCACATATAGTCAAGCAGCCAAAAACATCTTTCATTATCTGTGAAGAGTATCTATCTAGAGAAAGAAATAATGATTGGCAGTTCGCTGAAGCAACAGATGATCAAGTTTTATATACAACAATATATTAAGGCTCAAACAACCGATACATCACAATGTCCAACTAATACCACATAGTCTGAACCAGACTAACAAAAACAGGACAAAAGAAACATAAGGAGCTGGAAATGTTCCTACAGTTGTGTATCAGCACAAGGTCATTTACTCACTACAGAAGAGCATTTCAACACCTTATGTCATTGTGTTTCTAATTAAGGCCAAATCTAACGAAAATATAACAGAAGAAGACTCAAACACTTCTTTCAAACAGTAGAAATTACAAGCAAACACTTCTTTCAAACACTCGATTGGTGGAAATCTTAGCAATACCATTGCTTTGGCCACAGAATTTTAAACAAAAACCAGAAATTTAAGCCTTCAACCCAGAAATTTAAACAGAAACAAATTAAAAAATCCAACCCAAAAATTTAACAAAAACTCAAGTTGAGCTGCTAAAACCAACCAAGAAATTTAAAGAAAAATAAATTTAAAAGGCTGCTAAAAATTAAAAAAGTTGTTAAGAATATATTTACCGAGTTGTGAGCCTAGAAGCGATTTTCGATCGTCGGAACAGAGGAGATTTTCGACTATGGACGAGCTTGGACGAGATTGTCGATTTTTCGGAGCATGGTAATTTTCGATGATTTTTCGGAGCTTGGAAACTCAATCGATCTCCTCAAAATTTTTGATGAAACTATGGAGGAGGAGCGTAGCCTGGTAATTTCCGATGAAACTAATCGGAGGAGCCTAGTAATTTCCGATTGAAAGAATTAGGGGATTTTCAGATGGAGCCTGGTAATTTCCGATATAATTTGTTATATTTTAGGGTTTAGGTATATATATTTTCGATGAAAACAAGATATAAAACTAAAAAAGAATAATAATCAGATTGTGGGCCCCACCTTATTTTAGCGGGTATTAAAATTTTGGGTGGAAAATAAGGAGGGAACTAAAATGACCGTAACAATACATCCAACCGTTACCATAAATATATCTATTGCTACGGTTATACAAACCGTTGCCATATACACATATATAGGAATGATTATTGAGACTATTGCAACGGTTCAGTTACTAAGTGTCCCAGTAGTTCCAGCAATTATTTGTAATGGTTATAATCGTAACAATAGAATGCCTATCACAACGGTTATGGATCCGTAGCAATAAAAAGTGTTGTCGTAGCTCCAATTTCTAGTAGTGTTCGTTTGAGGCCATAGAATTATAGATGAGAAGGCCGAGGCACAAGTCAAGTACAAGCAGCTGCACAAAAGGATCCGTGAATGCGAGAGCGAACACCGCGAGATACAAGAGTCCAACAAGAAGCTGATTGAGGAATGGAAAGACATGACTATCAGTGCCAACAAAAGGCTAAGATACTTGGAGCGAGGCATAGTAGAACTGGAGGGAAAATTTCTCAAAAGGGTTGAAGATTGTCAAAAGGCTGAAGGGACCGAAGGTGGACATCTAGCTAGAGCATACCTATTGCTGGGACTTTGCGAATTGGGGAAGATGTTCGACGGAGCCAAGGATGTCGAATCTGGGGAAGGTCCTTCTGGGACCAAATAGATAGGAATTTACTTTAAGAATGTAATAAGGCCAATGGCCATTAGTGACTTTTATTTCTCGCTTATTTAGTGTCGTTTTGGGATTCGCCTATCTTTATCAATAAAATGAGGCATTTAGCATTAAAAGTTCTCCAAGTCTATTTGTCGCTAGGCCTACCTCGGGCACAAAGAGGTTCCCAAATTAGGACAAGCTTTACATTCCCGCACTATGTATTTAAATATTGCAATACTTTTTATAATCCTCACTGACTTGATTACCTTTTGTTTTATTTTGTTTTTATTATTCCCCTCCCCAAAGGTTAGTTCGTGCACTCTGGCATCATCATCTTATTTTACAAGATCCAGGGGCCCTTCACCCACTCCTCCTCTTAGTCCCATTAAAGGCAAGGACAAAGGCAAGAATAAAATGGAAGATTTAAACAACATCAGGAAGGAGAACACAGCTGAACGGGTAGAGGCCACTGATGGCCAGGGTATTCGGGTTCCTAACGAGAATGTGTCGCAACTTGAACAGAAACTGTTGAAATTCCAGGAAGAGCTCGATCAGGTTCGAAATCTGGAAAACCTGTTATTTTCCCTCAACACCCCAGATATCAACTTCCCCAATGTTCAAAAACCTACACCTCCTCAAAATATCCCAAAACAGCAGAATCATCCCCCACCTCACCATCACACTGCTCCACCAAAGAACCAATGTAACACCTGCCATACCCCAAACAACACCCCACTACTCATCCCAAAACCTCAGAACTCCACAAACGACCATTCCCACACCCATACACCAGGCCACCATAACACTCCTATCTATGTGGAGATCATGCCACACTCCACCCAACCTATCTCATGCACACCTGAGTCTGATGAAAAGGATCTGCTTATCAGGAACTTGGCCGAGGAACTTAAGAAACTAACCAGCCGGATTCAGGGCGTTGAGGGAAGCAAAGGAATCGAGAGGCTGAACTATGAGGACCTTTGCATACAGCCTGATGTCAAACTGCCTGAGGGGTACAAACCTCCTAAGTTCGAAATGTTTGATGGTTGGAGTAGGGAAGGATAAAAGGATCCACATGAAGCTGTTAATGAGGAGTTTGAAAGGAGATGCACTATCTTGGTACATCAGCCAAGATCCCAAGAAGTGGTCAAGCTGGGTAGGCATGGCATCTGACTTTATGGACAGGTTCAGGTTTAGTACAGAGAATGCACCAGACGTGTTCTATGTCCAGAATTTGAAGAAGAAGCCCACGGAGACGTTTCGCGAGTATGCTACTCGCTGGAGGTCCGAAGCTGCTAAGGTCAGACCCGCCTTAGAAGAGGAGCAAATGAACAAGTTCTTTGTCCGAATGTCACTTTATACTCTTTTGTAGGTGGAGTAGACGAAGAGAACGAAGACGGAGGCAGTGATGAGTCTAGACCTTACTTGAATTTTGAATTGTTGATTGTTGTAGATGCATGTGGCGGTTTCTAGGAATGTTTGTTATCAAAAATTTTAAAACTTTTGATGTTGAAATATCAAATGTATGTTATTGGTTTCATCACTATCTATGGATTTATTATTAACTTGTCGGACAATTTGGATTATGAAAAGTTTCATTTTGTATTTATATAAATTTTAGTGTTTTATAGTTTATTGTATATATATGTAAAAT